CATGGAATTTTTTGGCGGTCCACGTCACAAGAACCACGACCACTTGGTCGTTCAAGTTGTAAAAGTTTATCAGTTCTTGGATTAATTGCCCTGAATCTATGGAATTTCAGATGGAGCAAACAAGCCCATGTGTGGTTGGTTCATGTAATGTCTCGTAATAACTTTCCTGTCGCAAGAAGGATGAACTTATGCAAGGAATTTGTTCTGTATATACTGTCGCTACGATGTGTGGCCTCCTTACATTGAACTTAATGAATTTACGAGCTCCTTTCCGGCCACCGGAGTTACGGCAGCAAGTTTTCATCGACGTGTCACGACACATGAATGATTGAAAGTTATTCCAAGCGTGATATTTCCCAGGTGGGACCCGTATTGAAGGAATTTTCCGATATCAAATCTGTCAGTGTCCAGGTGTATTTAGCTTCGGGGAATTCTTATATTAATTTTATTTCGCCTGTTTTTATTTAGCCTGTCGATATATCAGGATGGTCTTAACATTTCATTAGAATTGCATGAACTTATTATCCGGATATAAAGTGTTCAATAATGATTGAAATATACAATCTGATTATCAGGTATTTATGGAATAAAGATAAGGATTCTAATTTCATAGAGAAATATTATTATTTAATCGTGAGATTTCGAAAATTCACTAAGCAACAGTTATTAAAAAATTTAGTTCGTAACAATTTTTAACTAAATATCAATTGCTGAGCATAATGAATAACATTATTATACAGTACTTTCGTGTTAAGTATAAAGTGTCTGAAATCGGTTTAAATTAATGCAGGCAACAAACATTATTTATGGTTACACAAAGTACGTATATGTATAATCACAATATATCAGTTTTACCCTCGTTACTTTCTGCTGCTTTTATGTTGCAATTTTTGTATTACATTAATACATACCGGTTATGCCAATATTCGTGGTGCAATCTTTATCACTATCTTGTTATTCGGGTTCAGTGCTTTGGTTTTTTGTAAAAATCATATGCTACACCTTTTTGCAACTTCCTTTAGAACTTAATATTTAAGTTTGTAGGCTGCCCGCGATGTTTATATTTTAATATCACCTTCTGGTGTCATGAAATCCTTCATTAAACACTTTGTGGCTTAAATAACGAAACAAAGTGGACATTTTCCAAAAGAAGTATTAGGCTTCCAGAAAAATATAGATATACAAAGTACTTACATTAATATCGATACTAATAATTCTTTCGACGAATCTAATTAAGTTACTACGCCAATACAATAATTAAAAATGTTACATAGGTAGAGCAATTAAGATACATTCGAATCATAATTTAATCTAAAATTGAAACAATTACAATCATAAAATAGTTACAGTACAATTTCAAAATCATTGTTTTTTCAGTAAAATAGTCCAGTGAACGTTTTGAACTATTCTGAGTTTATGGAGAAAAGAAGCGTAAGGCAGCCGTAATCTTTAATTGTCCTACTTCTTTTCAACGATCTATACAGTTTTAAGTCGAAGTATAGTCTTTCGCGGTCAGACGGCTGTTTCGAAACGCTGTGTGACGGGAAAACGTGCGTCCCGTGGGGATCGTTCACGCCGAAAGGTGAAACTAACGAGAGGGAAACGCGTAAACCTGCCCGACCTCGTTTCTCTGCTGCCGGGCGATATTAAAATTTTCCATGTGCTCGCGGTGATGAGTGACAAACGAGGATAAGTCTGGACTAAAACGAAAAAGAAAACACAAAAAAAAAATATTCCGCGGGGGCCACAATGCCGCGCCGACTAGGAAAAACGAGCCTACACGCGTTCTCGTATCCGCCACGTAACGCCCCGTTGTTCTTGTCTGGATCCGCGACACTTGACAATGGTTGAACGCGAACCCGCGAACCATGAGCCGAGAGTGGGTGTAAAGATCGCCTCTGGTTCGTGGACACACATATACACAAACATACACATACATGGCCCCACCCCCGCACCTGTGTTCATTCGATTGTACGCATTCACGTCGACGAAACAATGCCCCCGGGTGCGTCCCTTTCTCGATATTCCCTACCCCTGTCCCTCTGTCCGTTTCTCTCTGTCAATTATTCTCCTATTTCTTCCTGCGTTCCAATCCCCGTTGCTTTCTGTCTTCCTGTCTTGCGGCCAGGTAGTCGTCTGCTTTGAGCTTTTATCATATTAATATGATGAAAATTTTGATAAAGCTTTTAATCATATTTTCGTTCGCTACGTTCTTTACAATAACTTTCCATTGTTTAAGAAGTTTCATTGAACTAGTTATGTACAACTTCGATTTTATTTACTTAAAAAGCTTGGGTCAGCATTGCTTTCTGTCTTCCTGTCTTGCGGCCAGGTAGTCGTCCGCTTTGAGCTTTTATCATATTAATCTGATTAAAATTGTAATAAAGCTCTTAATCATATTTTCATTCGCTACGTTCTTTACAATAACTTTCCATTTTTTAAACAGTTTCATTGAACTAGTTATCTACAACTTGGATTGTATTGGCTTAAAAAGCTTGAGAGAGCGTTGCTTTATTTTCGCTCCCCTCTGTTAGCTCGCTCGCTCTTATCTCGGCGATTCTACGCTCTGATGCTCTTTGATACATTGCGGGAAATTATTGCGACGCGACATTTTATTGTTATTGCTTTTGTTTTCTCAATCTTGTAACGCAAACATTGGTGTAATACCGTAGGGCGCGTTGGTTCCACGAAATTTTGGAAATTTAGTGTTTTGATTATTGCGATACATTTCCGTTTTGTTTCGGGAATACAAACGTGAAAAATAAATGGGAACAGCAGGATTACCCCAATGTCTACGACTTTTTCTCAAACTCCGGAGAAGACATTCCTCAGTAACTAAACAGACGGAATTTCTGGTTCACCGCAATATTTATATATTTACTCTTTGCAGGCATGGTATATACGGATCTGTCTTATGTCTACCCTTTGCCTCGATTTCTTTTCCTCTTTCCACGACCTATTTCTGCTTCCGCTTTTCTCCCTCCCATCCTGGAGACTCCGTCTGTAGCTTTCTCGTTCCTCGTCGTTTTATCTGCTCGCGCCCGACCCGCTCGTAGGGAATAGTTTAATAGGGACGGCGGCTAAATGCATTGTCTAATTACGAGGGAAAACGAAATATTTAGAGTCGACCTAGTGGGACCTGCAGCCACAGGCCAGGTAATGGGGTTACTCTCGTGCATCTTTCTTGAATACACGTTCGGCATTTACGAGGAGGACTGAGGGGAAGGGGAGGGTGGGTGGTGAGGTCTGTCTGGTCGTTACCCGACAGACAAAACAATTCAAGCGTGGCTGGTTTCTCCATTTAACCTGGAGGAAAGTTTCGCGTGCATCAGTCGAACCTATTTTTCGGAACGGTGCACATTGGTATGCGACATTAACACTAGAACTATCGACGGTAAACGTAAATATCGATGTCGATCGGATTGATAAACACTACAAACTTTTGAAAACATACAAATTTATAAATCGATTAATTTCTGCGCTTACGTATTGGTATAAAAGTTGTAAAAGACTCGAGAAAATGCATTGCTGTAATATTTTGATCGTCGTTACAAGAGTGTACCAACCATTTTGACTGCTTTGATAGTGCTGGTGTTAATTAAACCCGTCTTAAACTCGGTTAATTATTCGTTGATACTCCACTTTGTTCATTTTGAGTTTTTAATACTGTGCTACGGAGTTATTGTGTTAATTTTGTGTTTTATAGTGATAATAACGATAGAAGATAATGACAGTGTGACAATATAAAAAAAATGTATTTGGATATATCTACAAAGATTGTGTGAATAAGTTGTTTTTTGAGAACTGACATTTTGCGAGTGTGTCGCTTAGGGGTGTTGCATTAATGTAATCAATTAGTGCATTAATTCATCGATAAAATGCCGCTTTCGTGTGTGCATCGGTACAATAATAATAGTAGCAATAATATTTTCACTTTATTACATATTATTATACGATGTGCATAAACATGTGAAGGGATTACTAGACTGCGGATGTTTGTGCAAATTCAATTTTTTGTAAATAAATTTGAGAAAAGTATTTTATTCAGTTCTGTACATTCACTTCTGCCATAAATATATAAAATCCGCAGTCTAATGATTACGGGATCATTAGAGAGTTAAATGGCAAGGAAAACTGTCTATAAGTATGAAAATGAATGTACATAGTTTCATTAAACTTAGTTCTGAACCGTGATAAGAAAAAGAATGTTTTATAAGCGTTCACTTAGGAAAGATTTTATTAGAAGTTGGAAAGGAAACATCAATAATATAGGATCGTAAACAGTATCGTAAACTTCCCACATTTTGAAGCGAAGTAGCTACATTATTAATCGAAGTTATGATGGATATTTTTAATCTAATCTTCTTGCGTTGGGGTTTATATTGTAATTTATTCTTTTCTAATCTTTTACGAATCTATTGTGACAAAACTCGAGTGAAAACTATTGAGATGCTCTATATGAAATATTCGTGACAATAAACCGGCTTGCTGGACTTAATCTGTTCGAATTGATACTTTTTAAATGGCTACCTCATTCACAGTTGGGACGGTAACTTGGAGCATTGCCAGATAAAGACGTACCCTAATTTTCGCCCCGTTACTGCATGTCCGTGGAGCATAAATTTTTACCATTTATTCCAGCCGTGAAATCCTCGTTATTAACGGAATATATGTATGCTTAATTCCGAATTGTTCGTTTTTTTCAATCTTTGGTACGAATTAAATTCAGCGGTCTTTTACGAACTATTTACTGAATTAAAGGATTAACAAAATAAGTCTAACGATTAACAAATAAGATTAACAATGACGTTTTCACTTGATTTCGAACTTAATAGAATTTTTAATACAGATGACAAATTTTTTATTCGACACCAATTACAGTAAATTGCTGCATAGACATTTATTTGGTAAATATTTAGAATTGGGGAGGCAGCTCCTATGACCTTGACCTTGACATATGTTCAGATATTAAAAAATTCCCTTTCGTTTGTTTCTTTCAGATCTCCACGTTAGTGTCGTACAAAGAACGTTCGCAATGTTCGTGCAGAAGTTACCGTGCGGTCGACCGAATCGGTCAAGCAGTGAATCTGGCGGTCGAGAGGTTCGTCACTGTCGGCGAAACGATCGCAGATAACAATCCGGAAATTAAGGTCGACATGTACCATGCATGTGAGGAGGCGAGAGTGTGCGGTGAGTAATTCTTTCACCTTGAAATACCTGAATGAATAACAGAATTCTGACGAGAAATTAGTTTTCACACGGAACGTTCCATTATCCCGCAATACCAATTGGAAGAAAATTTGAAATTTTTTATTTCTATACATCACTTATATTGCTTATAATATTGGGCTGTTCTGAAAGTTCGTTGCGTTTATAAAGGCAAAGTTACAACCTACATTTTCAATTTACATTATAATTTTATTCGCTACGTTTTTTACAATAACTTTCTATTTTTCAATCAATTTCATTGTATTAGTTATGCACAACTTCGATTGTATTGGCTTAAAAAGCTCTTTAACATGCTTCTGGATGGAATGTATTTTCAAATTTCTTTTTAGATACAGAATATTCCGGCGATCTAAAAGGATATACATGATGGGGCAAAGTGTAATTATTTAGGTAGATGCTAGAAAATCTTTCCAGTCGTACTAGTGTGATTTTTTTACAAGTTTTATAAAACGTAACTGACATGGGCTTTGTGCTGGTTCGTACGTTTCGTCGGTATTTCTCACAGAAAACACAAAGAACGTTGACTGACGGAAAATAGTACCTGTTCATCAGATCAAACGACTTTTCCTTCGTCCAGTAAAAAGGTTACGAAGACTGTGCTCGAAATATTATCAACTTTCCTAACAAGCCAATATATAAACTTGTAAACATTATTTTCGTGCAACAGACACGCCTCGGAATGACTCATTCAGTAAACTTTTATTTATTAATAAAATATATAAGGAAATAATAAACAGCAAAAGTGGACGTTTTTCCGTCGTAAATTATTTTCCGATTGAACAATAGCTACATCATTTGTAATTCGTAAGAGTTTTCATTTCTTAGAATTTGTTGCTATTTTTCTTCGAAAACTTGACTACTCCCTCGGCCAAAATGAAATGCAACCATAACTGCAACTTGATTGCAGCAACTGATTTCATATAGGTACACCTATTGTAATGTAAAATATTGAAAAAAGTTCGGAAACATACGAGTCCAACGAGGCTAAATTTTTTTTAGTTATAATGTCTAAAATGTCTCGACGATTTACTGTACACTGTTTCCGTTATTTTACTTCACATCTAATATCCTCATTACGTTCCTTCGTATTAAGAGCCCGGATACCCTAATACATTAGCGGTATCGAATAAATTCGTAGCGGAGATTTACGACCTCCCTTGAGGACAGTCACAAGTCTAGTCTCATCGTGAGTACCCGCAAAATACTTGCACCTGGTGCTGCTGTCAGACTCCTCTTTGAGAGTGTTTCTTATGGCCGCCACTGCGCGCCGAATAGTTGACCGCTCGGGATTCATCGTCAAAGCTTGTTAGCCAAATAGTCTGCTGCTGAAAAAGCCGCGCGAAAGATTCTAAGCCCGGTCGCGGCTATATAAAGACGTTTGTCGCGGATTGTCCCGCCTGAAAGCTAAAAAGGTATGTCTCTCAGCGGACGTATTCACGCTCGTGTCGACACGAATGTAAGAGAATATGCAGTCATTGTATATCCAACAACTTTTACAGCGAGCTGACTGCTCTGCACTCTGCTCTCTTGACAGTTAGACCCACGGTATCAATACTTTGGACGTTTCCACCGGTGGGAGTGAAATCCCTGGTAAAACGGTACGTGCTCTCTCGTAGCTTCACCTGCGGCTGGAATATCTCCTTTTTTACCCCCTTTTTGTAGTGTATTCGCCAGATACAGAGAGACGTGCAAACACGTTTTCGTTGCATTTAGCGGATCAGAGGACTATAGTGTATCATCACTTGGAATTGAAGAGTGAAAGCCTGAAATACATGAGCATTTGATTATGTTGCATATTAAGTCGTTTCTACAGTGGAAAAAGGGCATGAATTAACGTTAACCCTTTCGTTCATAATGTAGCTATATGACAATGTATTTTAAATTGGAAAATGAAAGATTGGTATCATATCATATAATAGTTTATATCATATAAACTATTATAACATTTATATCATATAATAGTTTCTTCTGGTATTTTTCAGTTGGCATGACAGAAATGTTCATATGTCTGTTTCACACAATTCGAATTGACAATTTAATCAGAAAACGGTACATCTGTTTGCGCATGTCCTTTTACTAAATTTCGTACACGTAATACAAGGTTTAAAATTACATCGAGTTACGAATTTATGTAGAATTAAATGGAAATTGGTTAGAATTTGTTTTAGTACCTTTTGGAAAACCCACGCTATGTTTGTTACAGACGAAAATTTTATATTCGCAACTGTTAACTCCCACACGAATTCGTGAAGTTGAATATACGACGAATAAACTAGACACTTTACTTGCAAACAATTCTAGACAACCATACTCTGTATATTTTTAGATAGATAAACATCTGGGGAATGAAACAACAGAAATCGATTTTTTTTTAAATCGTGGGTGATACGCTCTTGTTTAATTCTCTTGCGCTTCCACCCAGACCCGATTTCTCGTTTTTTTTTCCAATCACGCTGGTCGCCCTCGAACAGAAACATTCGACGTAGATCCATATCCGTGACGCACGAAGAAATGCTTCCGGCTAAAAGCTCTGTACACCGTCGCCCAAAGGATATAAATGCAAACTCTCGTATACCGTTCCGCAGAAAGCGTCGGCAAGAATACGCAAACTGGAGGAAAAAGTCGGTACGCTGGGTGGTACTTCTGGAAACAGTGTTGCAGAAGTATTCTATGACACACAAACACACATACATACTTCAATCTAACGGTAATAGCGAAAGTTCCACGTGGGACTCTTATTAATTTATCCATATAAGTTTCATAAGGTGATAGTAAAAATATTTTCTATTCTATAAAATACAATGTAAGAGAAAAATTTTCTGTACTGATTGAGAATTCCATTACAGATAAAATAAGATGGAAGGTTTGCGTTATATTACAACAGTTCTGTTAAATTGAAAGATATCGATTACAATAACAAAAACATTCGCGTGTTAGTCATCACTAGACTGCAGATTTTTATGCAAAATGATATCTTCTAAAGCAGTTCATACAGAGAAGAGCAAATGTAGGAATATCTTTCTTTTCTCAATGATCATATTCGGTTCTGAATAAACCAAAAATCTTATTGAATCTGATGGAAGTATTGTCCTTTATTGTATTTTACAAACACTTAGAGGCTATAAATGCATGAAATCTGCAGTCTAGTCATTACATTCTTCTGTTTATAGTTGTAAACGCACAGAATACTTGCAGTTTAGTGGTAAACGTAAAAGGTAGAATGTTACTAATATTTGAACATGAAAAATATGCTATATTAAACACAAAGAACCACAGCCTAATTGCTACATTTCTATTTAATAAGTTATCTAAAGTAAAAGTTTTTGTATTGTATTAATTTTTTATCTATTTTTAAATTAAATAGAAACAAAATGTGTAAGTCATTATTCATTTTGAAATATGGTTTCATGATTATTTCGTATCTTAAGTATAGGTAATATATAATCTTATAATTTTATTATATGCATTTGAACTCGAAAGCTGTACATCTAAACTCGAAATGAATTTTCTTCATTTAACAATGAGAAACTGTTACATCATTGTATCTATTGTGATGAAAGTGAAATATTTACGTAATCAACGAGTTCCATTCGGACTTGTTACTTTGGATATATCTTCGTAACTATTTCTGGTTCTTCGGATTCTTCGGAAAATATTCTCTCTCCCCATGATTTCGGATGATCAACACTCTACTATATCATAAAGGTTATCCAGGGGGACGTTTCCAACGTGTTGTTCTATTTCGTTCCGAAAGATTAAGCAGATTTATCGAGTCGTTTTCATAAATTGTTTACTTCGAAATGTGTTTGTCCTCGTGCCACCTCCGTGTTGAAACGAACGCCAAAAAATATCGCGATTGCCAAACGTGGATGCGTTATGACCCATATTCGGGAACTCCTTGAGACATTTTTCGCCATCGCGAGCGTAGCCTTGAGCAGTGTCTCCTTCAGATAGAAGCGAACCAACAAGGAGACGTCGAAAGCGTTTCTTTTCCGGTTATCCATCTTTTCTGCGACCACACTCGATGAATCGTATCGAATCTCTGAATAATCCAGGCGTAATGTTATTTTAAAATACTGAATTCGCTTGCCGTCAGGTTAACAATACTTGTAAATATGAAACGAAAATGAATTATGTTCTCCTGCGATGCAAGAAGGATTTCTTTTCAATTTGAATTTGATCATCAAAATAAAAGACTAGAATGTGATTTGTGGAACAATTAGCCAGTAATATGGAAATGTTTAGAATGTAATAGAATACATAATTTTATGTTAGTTCATTTCGTTAGTTGTATTAGGTATTTTCAAGCCAACCAAATTCTTAATTGACGAAACAATTTTTTTTTTACTCTTGTTGGGATGAGGTCATTTATGAATATGAAGCTTCATATAAGTATCTGCAGTCTTGCAGTACAAAATTGCATAAAATTGCGAAATGTTTCGTGATTGGTCCACGAAGTATTGACGTAGGGACAGAAACGTTTTAAAAGCAGCAAATTGAGGACACTTGGACTAATATTATCTCGTCAGTCGAAACGTTATATCAAATTGAATACAGTGTTATTTTTGAAGATATCTTATTATTTAAATATTCGTTTCTATTCAGTTAAATTAAGATTGTCTCGTCAGGCAACAAAGATATTCCAAACATAATTTTAGGGACGTGCGACCAGCTGCAGCGGTACTGTATCGTGTAATTATTTATTCCTAGTAACTGACTGTCGAGAAAAATGGAATTGGACAGTGTGTATTTCACAATCGATCTATGACGTATAGATTAAGAGATTGAAAATTGATAAAGAGGCGAATTGAGGACAAGAAGAACGAAATGTAGACTATCTTTATTTAGGTGTAACAACGATTTTCTTGCGTTTGGTTTAAAAGGGCAGCAGTGGTAGAATTCGCAAAGGTCAGTTCAAGAATACCATCTTTATAAGGGCGATTCCTATCGTAACAAATCCG